ACATAACTCACACTCCAGTGTAATGGGAAAGTTGGTTATAAATAAAAGGTATTATATTGAGGATGTGAGAAAGTAGCCATTAATTCCTAGTATTCTTTTTTGTTGATGTTGCTGGTGGTGGTGGTAGTTGTTTCAATTTTTTGCGGGGAGGTTGTTTGTTTTCTTGAGACAGCATTTCCCTATGTAGCCTAGGCTGGCCTAGAACTTGCTATGTAGACCAGGCTGGCATTGAATTTGCAGCAATTCTTCTGCTTCTGCCTTCCAAGTACTGGGATTAGTAGCGTGAGCCATCACGCCCAGCTGCTACTTACTATGCTTACTGCATGAAGTAGGATATCCTGAATGAATCTGGTATATTTGTTTACATAAGCATCAAAGTTTGATCTTCTAATGGCTTTAATGAACTAGCCTGTGATGTTAGTACTTCGGGCATTTGCTGACTTAAAAGTTCCCACAGCCTTCAACTAACACCAAAAATATACCAGTCTCCATCAGTCTCTCACTCCCCAAAAAGGCTAGTAAGGGCTGCAGTATGGTGAATGGTCATTAAAATTTTCAGCAATGTTCACTTCCTCATTGTATGAAGCAACCTTCCATGAGTCTGGGATGCACGTTCACTGGACATGTCAAACTGAACAGACTGTGAAAGCAATCCCCACATCTAAGAGTCAACATTATTCAGTTCCAGTAAGAAAACTCATAAGCCAAAGTTACAAATTCAGAAGGGTCCCCAAAGACAATGAACATTAAAGTTGATGAGAAATATAACCATCTGAGTTATATTTCTTTCTAATGTCTGTGAAAAACAAAAGCAAATCACTATAACTATTTATGACTAAACATAAAAAAATACAATTCTGGATCTGACAAAAAGCCAACATAGAATAATGAATAGAAAAGGTGTATTTTGAACTCCAAAATTTAATCAGCATTTACTGCTAATTTTCTCAAACCCATTAAACCCATTTATCACTTTAAAAAGTGATAAATAAGTATAAATAAGTCTTCGCAATATAGTAGACCTATAAGTAATACAAAACAACAACTACATACTTTCAAAAGATGAAAACAAACAAAAAACTCAAAGTTACCGTAAAGAAGAAATTTTATTCTGCATCTCCTGTTTAATTTTTAGTTCTTCTCCTGGCCCACTTTCCTTATGAGTGGGTTCTGTTGTCAGACCTGTAACCCAGCCTGTAAAGATGAATTATAATCATGTACCATTTATTGCAACTAGTGTGTAAGAGATATGTTATATATTATGTATCAGAAACTCCAATATATATGCCCCTTTGCCACCAACATCAACCTAACTTAGTCCTAGGATTTTTTCAAAAAGCAAAACAAAACACAAAATCAAGCTGGAAAATAGTCAAACCTTAAAGAAAATATTTAAGCATCCTGAGTCTTTCAGGGCTGGTGGAATAGCTCAAGTGGTAGAGTGCCTGCCTAGCAAGCATGAGGCCCTGAATTTAAACCCCAGTGTCACCAAAAAAAAAAAGAAGAAAGAAAGAAAAGAGTCTTTCATTTCTTAGCAGTACTAGTTTTAAAGTATGGAATAATTCAGCATATTCTACAAAACTTAATAATAGCTAACAAATTAGAATTGCTTTTCAAAAATTACTTTCATGGTGGGTGTGATGGCACACTCCTGGGAGATTGAGGCAGGAGGATTTCAAGTTCAAGGCCAGCCTGGGCTGCATAAGTAAACTCTATAGACTATCCTGCTCTACATAATAAGACCCTATCTCAGAAAAAAAAAAAAAGAAAAGAAAAATTACTTTCATGGAAATTTAAAATCTCAGATGACCATTATAAGACTGCAAAAAAGCAAGCAAGTTTTTGTAGGAAATGCACATAGTCCGAAGAATTTACAATTTAATTTAAAACAGACCAAATTAAACCCAAGAATACCCTTTCATTTTCAAAGGTAATAAAGACATGTTAAATACTTTTAAAAATATTAACTATTTTATAAATCAACAAGTCTACTCTCCCTCCTTTTTCTCCTTTCTTTTTTTTTTCAGTGCTGGGGATAGAATCCTGAACCTCACACATGCCAGTTAGGCAAGCACTGAGCTATATCCCCAGCCCTTCCTCTTATTTTTTAACCAATAAAGTTTATAATGCTGTAGGTAAGTGTGACCTATTAATAGCTTTAAAGAAGTCATAAAAATAAATTTACTAAGATTTGTTATTTTTCAACTACTGATTATGTTTTACTTTACCTGAATATGTGGACACCACGACTTCATCATAACCATCTTTCCCTACACAACCACCCTGGATGGATGTGACACTTTCAGACAACATCTAAAATAAATTTAAGACCAAGCACTTCATTAATAACTAAGTTTCAATGGTATGTTAAAATAAGCCACAAAACTTATCTCCCTGGCTCCAGATGTCTATTCAACATATATTTAACTGAACATTTACTATGAGACTAAAAGGATAAAATCTAATTATAAGCATTGAAAATTTCTATCCTAATTATTAGCATATACATATTACATACTGCTAGAATGAGACCGGTTTCAGCATAAGTTCTATTATTTTTTTTTCATTTTTATAGATACAAGCTCTGAAAGCAGTGTCTATATCATTTAAAAAAAAAACATAAGAAAAAATTGGGAGATAGGCTTCTTAATGCTAGATGTAGTTGAGCAGGTAAATGCTATGTCTTTACTGAAGTCTGGAATAGAAGTCAAACAGGAGACTTCAAGACTAAATAGGA